TGCCCATCCTATGCCCTTCTTCTTTGCACACCGAGCAGTACGGTTTTCTGGTGCAGTTTGCGACTGTATGCCCAGTTTTTTAAACAATTATAGCAACACGCCGCCGTGTTCTCTTCTTTACATTCGTAGTTATTGTGCCCGAACTTTGGGCACGTGTCTTTCCATTATTGGACACCCAACCCATCCTATTTTTATTGAGCTGTACCTTCTCAGCTCTTCTGCTCTGGAGGTGCGTACGGCTATCGTAGCCACCTGTTCCCCATATCTATTGGTTATTAGGGCCTTAACTTCTATCTCTCCCTCAACAACGCCTGTATAGCTCTTTATTGTTTTTTTTTTAGTTTCTTCACCCATCCCAGGGTCTTAACTCGTAATCGTGAAGAAAGTCTCCTTTCTTCGGGTTGCCGTGTCCATCCCGTTCATTTTGCTGTCCAGTTCGGCCCTCAACTTCGCCGCAGCCCCTCTCCAATTCAACTTTAACAAGTAGATCTCTCCCATTCGTTCTTCTTAGCTTGTCTACTTGTACCCCGATCTTTCCGATGTCGATTTTCTCTCTCATTTCGCTAAGAACATCGTTATATTTCTTTCTTTCCATCTTTATGAGGGGAGCTTCGTCTTGTTCCACTCTCCTCTCTGCACCGAATTCCTTCCCTCTAAATCTCCCAGGATATACTATCTCTATGCCCTACATATTCGAGAGCTTTCCTTATGGTTTCCTTCTTCAGGTCGTTTGCGACTACAACCCACATGACCTCTGGGATTTCGTTCATTTCTTTCCTTATGTCCTTTATAACCCTTTCTGCCATGTCGTATGCATCTCCCCCCGTTCTTTGTCGAATCTGGCAACGAAAGTATACCATATTGTTTTTTTTTATTTGCTTTTCTTTGTAACGACTATTTTGCTTACCACAGGGTAAGAATATGGGGGACAAGATTGGGCAAACAAAATAATCTGAACAAGTGCATACGGCACTCAGTTGGTTGTTGGAGAGCTGGGTCGTGGATAAGTTGAAGATATTGGGGGTTGGATTGGGCAACTACAAAAAAAAAAGAAATAAAGGGGTACTTATACAAATCTCTTGGGACAAACAGAATGAAAATAAACGGAAACACCTCAAGAAATTTAATATAACACTTGAGGTGCCCAATTATACCTATTACAACCACTAGTTTTAACTAGGGAAATAATTGTATAACATCAAAAATATAGAAAAAAATATCTTTTTCAAATAAAACTCAAAATAGATCAGAGAAACAAATTAAACATTTATCTTTGTCTCAAACAAAACAGATCAAAAATACATATTATAAAAGAAACATATAACATAATACAAATAACAAAAACTTACATGTTCTTTGTTTACTATATTATGGCCAATTAGATTATCAAAAATTAAGGATCCTTGTTAATGAAAACATATAAATTTAACCTTATATATGAAATATCGTTTCTACATAATAATCAAATTAAAATTGTCATAACAAAAAAACGAATTAAGCTTGCTGTCAGGTATCACATTTAATTTTGATGGCAAAGAACAAAAGTATTAACAGCATAACCATACATATTACAATTTTTTATTTGTTATGAAAGCAATTATTACTTTAGCCAAAAAATATCTGTCTTTACTTTGAAAAATTAATATATTGAATTGTTACCTTAAAATTTACATATTTCGTCACTCAACTTAAAAAAAAACTTGTTACATCTCTGACTGGAAGCTACTTGTACAAATCCTCTAACTGGAACATAGGAACCATTTCTATACTCAGGAACGAGGTTGGGGCAAACAGATGACACACGAAGCTGGTGGCACATCCTATGTACTGCTTTAAAATTTTACCATGTTCTGGTATACTGCATAAATCCTTTTAGTGGTTTCTCTATGCTAATCCGTCATGTTTACGGAGAGTCCACTGTTTACAGGTCTGATTAATTAACCCATTATACAAAATTACCGGCTGTTTATGAAAAATGCCCAAGTCCTTTCAACTCGAGCTGCCTTACATCACCTGCCTACCTCGTTGCTCTTTTCAATCTCGTCGACTCTATTGTCACATGTCTGCCCTGTTTGAAATCTCTAAGTCGACTCTATTGTCACATGTCTGCCCTGTTTGAAATCTCTAAGTCGACTCCTTTGCTTCGTTACATTTTACCAGAATCAGCCAAAAATTCCTCTTCCGTCTTGCAGCCTGTCGTCGACCCACTTAAAACCAAAACAAATATTCCCTCCTCTTATCGACAAAAAAAAACAAATTTTAAATGTTCCTTTATTGCCTAAACAAACAAATATTCTTTTTTTTTACCCTCGTCTAATAACGAAAAACAACTTTAATATTAGGGGAATTCATGTTTATTGCGTTTTTAATGAAGAAAACAAATAAAACCTTTTTTATACTAGAGGGGCATCATGTAACATGATACCTCCTTAGCGACAAAAACTTGTCGTTTCACCTAACATTGCAATACACAGATAAAAACATATTTCCAGCGTTAATACGCATTTAAAAATCTCGTCAAAAAAACTTGAAATATTATTTCGATTGTTTTCTTTGGTAAAATCAACAGGAGCGTAACACAGAAATCTTTTCTATACACTTTAAATAAAAAACGCTACATCTTCTAGTGATCTCTAGATAATTTATTTCTCCCTCTTCTATTTCTTCTAGCATCTCCGCTAGGTCCTCCCATACATCTTTAATGATGTTTTCCACACTTTTATCTTTCGCTTCCTTTTTTGTAAATATTATACAGTTCTTTTTTTCTACTCTTTCTAGTAGCCTCGCTTGTTCGTACTTTGTCTTTACATATACTTTCTCTTCCCATTTACTGTCGCATATACTCATAAATGTTTTTTTTTCCTTTTCGCATGTTTAATGCCCTTTTGATTTTTTCTTGTTCTTGTTTCTGCTTCTCCTGCTCCTCTTTTAGTTTACAATCGTCATATTTTAATTCGTGTTGCGTTTTTTCTGTTATCCTATTATCCTCCCTTTTGTTGTTTGTAGATTTTATTATCCCTATCAATTTTTTGTTCGCTAAATTTGTTAAATATTTCTTCGAGTTTTGTATTTAATTCCTCCTATTTCCTGTTTATTTTTTCTTGTTTTGTTTAATTTGGAAACCTTATTCCAAAGGCCAGCCTCCAGCCTTTCCCTCTTGAGGTCATTTATCCTCTCCATGCTTTCGACTTTTCTTTTCTTCATGTTTGTCGTCTCCCCCTCCTCTTCTTCGTCAAACAGGAGAGTGGCCAGCGCACTCCCCTCGATATTCTGTCATACATTTTTAATTTTTTCAACTTCCTCCTGTGGTTGTTATTCCCCTATCTCTTCTTCATCGTTCTCACTATCTTCTGTAATTTCGTCTCCTACTAATGTCTAGTAGGATCTATTCAGTTTTTGTTGTTGCTTGTGTCTTATTACAAGTTCCCTCTCAAAACTATTCATAATCTCTCCTGCTAATTCTTTTTTCAAGTGTTCCTCCCTACTCTTTTTTTTTTCATTTCCTTTGCATTGTCCATGTCTTGCCGATTGATCGTCATTGTTCATCCCCATCTGTTTTGAATTTTTTATATTACTCATAAATGATCCAATGAGCCGGGCTATACTTCTGGCGCGGCAGTTCGACCTTACCGCGCTAAGGCTTTGATAATTCGAGAGGTCGCCAGGTATCCGTAAGGGAGATTTTGTGATGCTCTAACCCTCGCATGTCTCATATCTTTGGCACGATGCCTTCCACCGTGATAGTGGAGATTTTTTATCGAAGTTTACTCCTCTAGGCTTTTTATTTACGGTTACCTCCGGACGCAGTGGCAGTCTGTTTTAGCAGTCTGCTTGGAGTTTCCACATAACTGGTGCCTCCCCTGTTACGTGGGAATTGGAACAGGGCGATTGATGGAAAAGGTGACAGGTGGTGTTAACGTGTGTGCTACTCATATGGAATGTGTTGGGAAATGTACATGGGATTGAGTAGCCATGGGAGAGTTGGTAGGTAATTGTGTTGCTGAAGGCGAAAAAGCGTCGCATAGGTCGATAACTCTAGGTTATCTAATCTTAAAACTAGGAAATTCTCCGACTCCTGTTTTGGGACAGGCTATCGAAAAACAGACTTAAAACTATATCGAGGTAAAGGTGACTATTGTCTTAAATTGTAGGGAGGCTGCACGAACACATAACTCTGGAGTTAACCAGAATGGTTCCTTGATTCGCCAGTGGTCCATATCGAATATTTTTTTAGTGGTCATATCTAAACATATTTTTTAAATGTGCTAATCGTTAGTACTTATCTTAATTTAGAAATAATATACAAAACTAATATCTATTAGAATTGTCATACGATATAAAAAACAATAAGCGCAATGACATGATGAGCTGTGGGCTATAAAAGGTTCTGTTTCAGATATATAAAAACGATGAGTGATATTAAAGTATGATTAAAAAATATATTTAAAAAAAGTGGCTGTATTTTTAGATAATGTAATGTTTAAACTTTATTTAAATAAATCAAGTATAAAATGATAACATTTATTCAACATCCATCTTAAAGTTAATTAAATAATATATCACAGAGATTAATGATAAAATTGGTGATTTAGCGAAATTATGCTTTATGTTAATCAACATCCATCTGATTATTTATCAATCAAATAATGACCCCCATGGTAAAGTATCGTAAGACTCCGGAAGGTGATGTCTTTTATCATCATTAGAGTCTAGCGCAATCTTGCTTTGCGTTATGGTATAAACATGGTGCTTATCTGAGTGTATAAGGTTCTGTGAATCAATCACCGTTTTTAACCTCTCCAAACACTCGACGTAGTTCTCGAATGTAATTTCAGTGTTTACTACAGATTTCTTTACCCCCTTCGCCTTTTTAGTCACTCCAAGATTGTTAAGAAGTATCTTTATCTCATCGTCCTCATATTCTTGATCTTTTAACTCCACCCTCAATTTTTTAAGCCCATCTTCAGTGGTAGCCTGTTTTAGACAGAAGACCAATATAGTCAGTCATTAGTCTCATCTTTCATCATACCTAACACCTTCTTATTAACCTGGGGGATACCATAAATATTTTCTTTAGGATAGTCTGAGGTATCAAAATATTGATGACAATCTTTTATCATAGCCTCATAGGGGTCTTGTTCACGTATTTCCACTATTACGTAATCTGTATCTGTATAGCAAGTTGTAAATTTTTCTCCGAACCTGCCTGCTAAATAGTTATATTGAAAATCATATATTGTCTTAGCCAAGTCCAACATACTCATTCCGACATATATTGGTTTATCTAACCATATTTCAGCCTTATTCATCTCAACGGCTACCAAGTTTTCATTAAAAGTCGTACATGTTATAAAGAGGGGACTAATTATTATAGCTTCAGCTCCTTAACAACCTGGCCATTCAGTTAGTCTATGTGACCATAGACACATTCTCTATGGTCTTTACGAATACGTGTTGTTCATGAGCTTCTTTTCAAATTAATTTTTCGTTGCCTTCCGGAGATTTTTATTCAAGTCGATGTATGATTTCAATCATGGAGCCTGTTTGAATTTCAATACTCTGTATCTTTTTCACAATTAATCCATGTGCAATCGCTTGTTCTAAGGCTCTATAATGTATTACATATTTTGTTTTATCATTAAGGGTGGCCATTAATTTAGTCTGCTTTCGCGGACGTGTAGGAGGAAGCATAGTCTTGGGATTTAAAGACTCAGGACAAAACGGGATATCTTTATGATGATAATGGAGATGAAGAGGGTATTCTAAATCTACCTTGAGAATGTACCCTTGAGAATCATCAGGAATAGAAATAATGTCTATATTAGGATCGACCCACTCGAAATCACCATACGGAAGTTTACACCAAGTTTACATCAAAATACATTAAGCATCTCTTTAGTTTGCTAGGGTTATAATTATTAATGTAGTTATTGTTAGCATGAGCTCGACGTTTGCTACACATTTGACTAAGACCAACAAGAATATCACGTTCAACAAACAAATGCATGTCAAGATCTGTTAACAGCTTCAGTTCTTGTTCTGTATATTTAAGCATAGCATCCCATGTAAAACCAGGCAGAATGAAGTAGTGAGCGGGGTCAAGATTGTTCTAAGACAGCTGGATCGGAACTGTTCAAAAACTTCGGCAAGAAGAAGGATATCAGTTCTCATGTAGAGATCTACATAATATCCGAGAGAAGAACAAGAGAATGAAGACCAGACTTGAAAGGCGCGACGATAATGACGAGGACAAGGTTATCCTCAAGTTTATCGTAAAATGCTTCCGTGGTGGTAGACATGTTTCATTGAATTTTTTGAATGAATCGATATAATCACATGGCATGCCTTTCTTCCTTTCTTTGTAAGTACATTAAATTGCTCCTCGGGCAACGAAGAAAATTAAGATGTTAGGTTAGAATATGGTCAAATAAGAAGACAGTTTATTGAGGGAAGACGCCATTAACTATTGATAAAACGGAATTTAATTCAAGCATCATCAATATGTTCCGTAAAAGAGATATATTTTTCCTTGGAGATAGGAAGAAGATCTACGGAGCCTTTATTGTGAACAGTAATATCGTTAATAATAAAATTTGAATCATATCTGCTAAGTTTATAAAATACGACTGGGATAGTGTGAGCATCTTTATAATTAATGTTACACCCTTGCATGAGCTGCGCCGCGATAATTATTTTCAAGAATGAGGTATTCGTGGTCTTGGACTTTGTCTTTGGGGAAAAGGCTCTGTTTACGGATGCCAGTGCGTGGATGCGTGAAAATCACTCTCTTGTATCATCATATTTATATCATATGGACAACTAAACACCGTAGATATCCTCAGCAAGCTGATTAAGTTCATCTGCAAACCACCGCATACAATCTTTTCCTCCTGTTTTTTAGGATCTCCTTTACGTTTCAAAGCACTTTCGATATCTCCTGAAATTCTTAAATCTAAACATTTTATGACTTTCCTCCGGAATTTTAATGGCTGTTTCGTTAATTCTTATACAATCTTTGATGTGTGCTTCTAGCTGAGTAGACAATGAAAACGGTTGTAAGCACCTATCACAGATATGATCTAATCGTCCTTTGCAACAGGCCTTATGAACATTTAACTTTTCTTGCCATCGAAAATAATGGAGGCAGTCATCACAGAAATATTTTGTTCCATTTTCTTTACTTAACTGTTTTGATAATAGGCGAGATAGGTTTTTTATCCAAATGTAATCATACCTAATTGGTCCTTTTACATCATCGTATCTATCTTGAATTAATAGTAAGTTTACATGTTTATCTTTCTTTTCTGTCGTAAAGTATGTTGGTAGGGTCGTAAAATTCATTTTTTTTTTTTTAGAACATAAACATTGATGGATATATCATTCTGCTTTTCAAAATTGGGTATCTGTTTGGCCACTGAATTCCCTTTAACTTCAATACGTTTCCTTGTCATCGTTATTTACGTTAATACATGCTTCTTTTCTCTTTATTTGAGGGGGAAGTTCGATGTAAGAAAATCCAAGTTGCGGTGTAAATTTGTACGGAAATAAAATTTTGTTTCGTTAAAGGAAAATACCCGGGTGTTTTTGTTTAAGGTTTGAGATGATTCCAGTTCTAATTCTTGTGTTAAACGCTGATAAAGAGTCATCTCATTATACCCTAAGCTTACTAGTCTCCTTTGTTGGTATTAGTCCCGCCTTCTTCGGTTCTGCCTTTAACTGATTTCGCAGAGTTTTAACATGCCTTATCTGGGCTTCGAGGTGCTGGTTTTCACCAATCTTGTTGCAAACCTTATACTATTATGTATCATTTTAATAGCTTTCCTACACTCTACCAGACCTTACTTAACAGAATCTTCCTGATAATTATTTTCGATTAAAACTAAGATGGTTACAATTAACTGAATAAGTCTTGCTAACATGTTTGCATAAATATTCAAAGTTAAATTATAAACAAAAAATTTAAAAACTATATAACAAATATGATTAAAAACAAAAATTTTCAAAAACCAAAATATCCAAAAATTGTTAAAAAATCTGAATAAGAAATTTAAAATTTTTCAAAAATATCAAAAAAATCAAAAAATTTCAAAAAATATTAAAAACGTATCACTCATTAGAGCACGTTTGAACGATTTAAAACTCACCAGAGCATACGTCTGAACGCTAGGAATATCTGAAACAGAATAAAGAAAATATTTGAATGTATGTGTCATCGAGTGCCATAGCCTGAGAACTAGTACTCACTCCGATGCTTCATCGTCCCGCTTCAAATTTTCGTATTGGCTGGTTAACCTGAAAATACCATATAAATAGTAAAATACTTATAAATCTCAGTGATTTTCAGACCACCCAGGTCAGTCCTGCTCGGGCTCCCCTAGAGCATAGCGCTCTAGGGACTCGTATTGCGTATTGTTTCCTATACTCTGTGGCTGAGTTTCTTTTCAATTGTACCTGTTGTTGTATTTTAACCCTAGTAGTGGTTTTACTTTACTTTGTCTTTGTCAAGACAAGGTAACATCAAGAGAGCATCCGGCGTGATTTTTAAAGGTTTTACACCCCTTATTTTCCACAAAAAGACTACATAGAGTATTAAGTTTATAGGGTAGAGTCGGACGGAAAACTGAAGCCCAAAAGTCCCCTAGCTCAAAAGGCCCCTACAATGTGCTGATTTGGGCTTGATTAACCATAAGAAACAATGTTAAATTTCTGAATTTGACGCATTTACTTTTAAAGGTAAAAGAAAATGTTAGTATTACTAACACAATACAAGAACTATAAATACATGTACAATAAACATAATGTACATGCTTTCCACATGAAATTTGCTTAATAGAAAAAGGCAAATCGTAACATATTAATCAGGTAGTTGACAATAATAGCCGTAGATATAATCACCAAATAGTATTTAGCTGTAAACATCCAACAATCTTGATTACCCCCACCACTACTTTCAGCACTAACACACTTAATAACTTTGAATTTGAATAATACCAACAAGTTATCGCGTTTAGCAGTAAATCATGGTCCGATTCTAAAAGAATTCAAAAAATGGTAGAATTAGTATCCTAGATGACCAGTACAGTGTCAAATTTGTGTTAAAACTTACAACACCCTCAATACTGAGTGTTTGCAGAGGATAATATTGAAAAAAGTGACAAAAACAGAGCTCATTTGAAATAACCGGAGTCGTAAAAGAAGTATCCAAAACTAATAAATCATTATTGATATAAAGGCCTCTGACTAAGGATAAAATAAAAAACCCGCCAAGCCCTTACATACAACACATCCAATGAAAGTAGGATGATATTATCAATATGTTGAGATATAAAAATATTAAATAGAGATACAAAATATTTCACTACATCGAACGCACCAATCTATCTTGATACAAATCTTGAATATCGGTTGGATAATAATGTTGTGAGACCCATATCCAAAGACTTGGAAGAATTAAAAGAGCGTGATAGTGGCTGGGCATTAAAAGCTGTTGTTAATCTAGGCGTTAACTTGGCGTTAACTCTAGGCAACTTGGATCTTCTTACATCGAACTTCCCCCTCAAATAAAGAGAAAAGCATGTATTAACATAAATAACGATGACGAGGCATGCTTCGCTTGGTCTGTGATATCAGCCCTGTATCCCGCAAACCTAAATTCTGCTCGGGTGTCACCATACCCGCACTACGGAAGCGTATTGAAGTCAAAGGGAATTCAGTGGCCAATAACCTTCAAACAGATACCCAATTTTGAAAAGCAAAATTATATATCCATCAATGTTTATGTTCTAAAAAAGAAAAAATGAATTTTACGACCTTCCCAACATACTTTACGAAAGAAAAGAAAGATAATTATGTAAACTTGCAGAGCATATTCCTGTAGCAGTTGATTACTTTTTTAAATGCTCGTATGATAATACGCTCTTTTTACAAATTGTATAGAGGAAAAGATTGTATGCGGTGGTTTGCGGATGAACTTTATCAGCTTACTGAGGATGTCTCTACGGTGTTTAGTTGTCCATATGATATAAATATGACGATACAACAACAAGAGAGTGATTTTCACGCATCCACGCACTATCATATATGTAAGCAGAGCTTCTACCCAAAGACAAGAAAGTCCTAGACCACGATCACCTCATAATAGAAAATAATTATCGCGGCGCAGCTCATAAAGGGTGTAACATTCATTATAAAGATGCTCACACTATTCCCGTCATATTTCATAACCTTGGCGGATATGACGCACGTTTTAATATTAACGATATTGTTACTCACATTAAAGGCCCCGTAGATCTGCTTTCTATCACTAAGG